TTTAGAATCATCAGATAAGTAGTTCAGTAGAAAAAAAGAAAAAAACAAGAACAAAGGAGAGGAGGTTCTCAAGTGCCAAGATTTGATCATCCAAAACGGTGTTGGTATCCTCTTTCCTATTTTGGATCATTACGTTTAATAGACTACATCTCCAAAATTTAGGAACCTAAAAATACTTCTCGCTAGGTCGGGAGAAAATGTAATTTTCATTTGAGGGGGAGCATGTAATTTTACTGGTGAGTATGGATTGCACATTAAAGATGTTACAATGGGGTTCAGACATTTCTGATCATGTGGGGATTTCTTATAAATCAAGTAAACCAAGATTGCCATCAGGTGGTAGTTGGTAGTGGCATGAGGCTCCTGATCCCACCCTCTTCTCCTTGACCTTAACTTGAGGTGCTCTCTCTCTCACATTCCAAGACATTCAATGGTCCAGTTGCATGCAAACAGGCAGAACAATACAACCACCAAAGGCTAAAAGCAACACACAGTAGTGAAACAAAGTGAGGGAGCAAAAGGATTTTGGATTAGAAGCATTCTTTTGTAGTGATTTTAAGGGGCTTTTCTATATAAACTCTTCTCAAGCTCTGGTTTTTCTGATTTGATGGTTCAATGTCAATTAAGATCCCTTTATTTGAAGTGCATGTTCAGAATATTTTGGACTTGTAGGGGCCTCTCTTGTTGATTAAAGGGGGGTAGAGCATGTAGGGTCCATTAGGGCATTGCGCCCCAAGAAGAGGAAATCATAGGCTCAGACACGCTTTCTTGTCAAATGTCATTCGTGCACATCCTAGGGCTGTAAGAGCTGGAGTTCCACCGCAATATTCAAGTGGACCCCCTTTTTTGCATTTGAGGGGAGATTTTTTCAATCTCTTTTATACTCTGGATAATTCTTTAGATGGAAAATTGTTTCATGTGCGGTGGACCTCATTTCTACTTATGCAGTCCATAAAGTATAAAGCATCTATTTTGATGCAAGTAGATATTCCATCTAAAAAACAATGAAAATAATGAGCCAAATTTTTTCTTGCTAGAATTATTATTTATAGTTTTTAAAATTTATTTATGTATTCATATTCATGATCTCCATATTAGATATTACATGTCTTTAAAAATTAAATCTTAAAATCCATCTCAAAAATAGATTTAATAAGAGGCTTACATTTCTACAAATACAAGCTTGGCCGCATAAAAACCGGGTCCTTTTAAAATTATTCCAGTCTCTCTCTCTCTCTCTCT